CATAATTTACATTTACCTTACAAAAACTCTTTTCTAGAGATTCCCAGGTTGAGAGTACAGACTCTCACTAAAGCAACAATGTACTTTTCTGATGATTATGCCATTATCACACTATCCTCTCATCACAGATTCTTTCTATAGACTCTTCTCCACAGCTATTCTCTGTAGATTTCTCTCTCTAAAGAGCTGCCCCACTGCCACATCTCCACTGGGTTACCTAAGTTTCATCTTTTCCTCTCCTAATGTGCTAGTTCAACTTACTACAGCTACAATTTTATATTGCTATTTTGAGGAGTTTTTAAAAAAATTCAGATTATACAAAACAAAGGGAACACCAAGATTTCAGATGAAGGAAATCTGACATTTGCCTAAAAAGTCAATTATCAGTATCATTATCTGTAAGAGACAAAAACAAGAGAAAAACAACTAATCTAGTGAGTAACTTAGCATTCTGTACAGAGGCAATAAAACCCTAGAAATTTTAGAAATAATTCACCACTACCACAACCACCAATCACTTTGTCTGGATATTCAAAACACACACACACACACACACACACACATACAACTCTGTTATGTTCCACAGAATTTCACACACACACATATGTATCATTTGTTACCTCTTCAAAAACTGACAGTGTTGCTACTGTTTAAGCATTTTTGTTACATTATCTAGAACAAGATTAGCACACTACAGCCTGTAGAGCAAATCCAGGCCACCAACTGTTCTTTTTATAGCCCATGAGGGAAGAATAGTTTTTTACATTTTTAAATGGTTATGTAAGTACCTACATAATATCATTGATTTTGCCTCCTGGACTGCAAACCCTAAACTATTTACTATCTGGCTTTTTGCAAAAAGGTTTTGTTGACCCCTAATCTCAGGGATCAGTGTAGAAAAGTATGTAACAAATTAATACAATTTGACTATAAACTAATTAATTTAATTTGCAGTAAAGTGGTCTTGTGCTCTGCTCCCATTTAATTGTGACTCCCTAGACATTTCGTACCATCTGAGGAGTCTGACAATCCTCCAGATATATTCTCAAAGTGAAAAACAAGTATGTAATATAAGGATGACTGTTACATATTTCACCATACCACGCATATGGCAATAGCCAAAAAAACATTTCTCAAGAAGAAAGAATTAAAATTCAGCCTGGTGTGTGTGTGTGTGTGGCACACACACACACATATATATATATATATATATCAGAAAGCCTTAAAATATAGGTAGAATGGCAAGTTCTACGGTTCATAAAAACCTAAAGTCCCAAATAACAAAAACAAAACAAACACAACATGAATGCCACAGAAAACATGAGCTATAAAAAGCAAAGGCTGGGGGCACCTGGGTGGGTCAGTCAGTTAAGCATCTGCCTTCGGCTCAGGTCATGATCCCAGCGTCCTGGGATCTAGCCCCGCATCGGGCTCCCTGCTCAGTGGAGAGCCTGCTTCTCCCTCTACCTCCACCTGCCTGCCTGTCTGCCTATTTATGATCTCTCTCTCTCTCTGTCAAATATATAAATAAAATCTTAAAAAGAAAAGCAAAGGCTGGGGGCGCCTGGGTGGCTCAGTTGGTTGGGTGTCGGACTCTTGATTTCGACTCAGGTCATGATCTCAAGGTTGTGAGTTCGAGCTCCATGTGAGGGTCCCACGATGGTCCCGTGGCAAGTCTGCTTGTCCTTCTCCCCCTGCCTGCCCCTATGTGCACTTGTGCTCTCTCAAATAAGTAAATAAATAAAATCTTTAAAATAAAAAAGCTGAATTTTGTAAGGAAAAAAAGAAACATGGGAAGAAGATTATAAAAATGGTAGACTGACAAGCAACAATCTTTTGAGGGGCTTCACAGAAAACCTAAGGCTTATTAAATAACAGCAACTCAAGTACAAAACCTATATAACTGAAGGATCTGAATACCTTCAAACAATAATATTTCCACAATATAAACCAAAGCAATTAAGGATATGCTTTCAAATTTTAAAAAAATTCACTTTCATTCAGTGGCTAATTAAAACTTGCATAACCACTGTGACACTAACCAAGCTAGTACTAACTTTTCATTTTGAAAGGGTAGGTGGAGTACCAGTTGCACCTCCTCCTACTTCTAGCCTTTATGATAACCATATATTTCTCAACACACACTATCAAGAACCACCTCTAAGATCCATTCCAGTTCAACCATTCTGTGAGAATTTTAGTATTTAAGTTTTTAACAAAATACTCAAAAAACCGATAGTAAATGATAAAGGCATCATTATAATACCACATGGAAGGCAAGATCTGATAATGCTGCTGTAGGACTTTCCCTAGTTGAAAGAGTGCCACAATGGGCGCCTGGGTGGCGCAGTCGTTAAGCGTCTGCCTTTGGCTCGGGTCATGATCTCAGGGTCCTGGGATCGAGCTCCACGTCGGGCTCTCTGCTCAGTGCAGAGCCTACTTCTCCCTCTGCCATTCTGCCTACTTGTGTTCTCTCTCTCTCTGTCAAATAAATAAATAAAATCTTTAAAAAAAAAAAAAAGATTTGAAAGAGTGCCCCAAATTCTTAACTATGTGCCATAGTGTGGTTCTCACATTATACAAATCTAGGAAAACTGTGAAGTTTACAAAAGTTCCTCTTAAAAAATCATTCTTTTGTTCTCTAGTAACCAAGTTAGCCGCATCCCACTACGGGCATAGTTCACGTTCACTTGGCTAGAATTAGACACAAACAATGGGAAGATTCAAGGAAGAACCATTTATCAGATCTATGCCACTTACCTATGATAAAACTGTGCAGAGCAGAAAGGATTACTGTTGATCACAGAACATACACACATAAGTGATGATGAGCAAATGGACTGGGTTAAACAAATAAAAATAAAGGTCCTCTTTATAAGGGTCCCTAGAGTTACCAGTTTGCAATGCTGCAACCTCATGAAAATATTCACTAATAACCAGAAAACTTAAAAAAAATAATCCCAGTGAAATAGCCTTCAAAGACAGTGTGGCTATCTCAGGCCAGAGTCAGTGATGTTGTTGGTCAGTCTTTTGTTAAATATCCCATTATACAAAGCAAATACAAAAGAAACCATCAAAAGTTGAGTATCATGCAAGAGACACAAAATTGCATGAAGTCCTTAAAAATGATGTGAAAGAACCATTTAATTAAACACAAAAGCCACTGACAGATTGGAACCTAAACTGAGTTAGAGTCAGTTGATAACTAAAGAGAAAATCAAGAAGGTTCAAATGTAAGGTAAAAGACATTTCTATATTACCAAACAATTTTCTGCAGAAAAAAAATACACCAAAAAACTCAGTAATTAATTCACTCTTTGTTCACTTAAGACCTTAAAGGGGATTATATAAATTACTGTTTGTTTTCTTAATATTAGTTTTAATTTTCAAAATAAAGCCCCAAACATTTTTTTCCTCTATCTTCTGAAATCTTGGCATCTCTTTTAAGTAATTCTAAGTAATTCTTCTAAGTAATTCATTCCAGGATTAATTATGCTTAGATAAAAGGGACCTGAATCTATACAGGAGTACCCTTGAAACGCTGGAACCCCTTTCAAAGTGAGGCATTAGTACTAGCTTGGTCTTTCCCAGACTGGGTAGGAAAAAATAAAACACAACAAAACACATTAGCTAATCTCTGTCTCATAGGAATGGTTTCAGAAAGAATGGCAATCAGGTCATTTTAACTGTGGAAAAGAAGATGCTTTTCAGGTTGTGAAGGCAAAGTAGGGACAGGGAAAGAAATAATGTTGCCAGGTACAGAGTATTATTAAAAAAATACATAATTTCACTGAAAGAAAACATTCCAAACCACTAAGGAATAAGGTATTCTCTAATATGGTAGCCAGAAGGGACAATTTACAATTTGGGAAGATTGGAGTATGGGAAGGAAGTAGAGAGGAAGAGACAGTAGTAAACTCTGCACCTCCCCCTCCTTTCCCACTTCTCAAATTTCCTCTTGGCCCAATTTGCCTCTCCAGTTACCTTATTCTCTCAACAAATACTTTTACGGGGAAAGAAGGAGACCTGATGACACTGTTTGAACCCCTCGGATCTGCCATGCCTAAAATCAATCTACTTCTAGCTATCTGCAATATGTGACTCAATACCAATTTTTATCAAACACAGTTTAAGTTCATTTCTGTCATTTGTAAGAGAAAGAGTCCTAACTAATAGACTGGATTATGCTACTCCACAATAAAACTTTTCCTGATCACTTCTAGTTGTATCTTATTTTAATCTCTTCTGAATTCCTGTAAGAACTTCTTTGTATCACTCACATTCTACCATGTGTAATAATTATTGAAATTACTTCTCCTACCACACTAAAACAGTAAAGTCTGTAAAGACACACTAAATCTTAAGTTTATATTCTGCCATATGGTATTTTCACACATTAAAGGGCAGAAAAAAGGCATGAATGGGTACATGAAGGAGAAGGAAGAAAGTTTTCAACAATTCAGAATGGTTAATGAGGGTCTAAGCAGTAGCACGAGAAAGAAAAAGATACAAGAGCTATAATGTGGAAAAAGGAGCAAATGGACAAATGGTTGCACATGAGAGGTAAAAAAGGAAAAGATGCAGTGCAGTTTCTTAGAAAGGAGCTAGGGCTAAATTAGAATCAGGAAGGTTGGGTCCATGTTTCCTAATTAACTACTGATTTCATTTTTTTTGGCTCTGGTTTCTTCAATGGTAACTAGGTCTCTTTCACTCAAGTTTCTCTCAGTGCCAACATTCTGTGTTTGTAAGCAGCCAAAGATCAGAGAATGAAGATCAATGAATTTATAACCCATATCCTTTCTTGAAATGGGAGGCTAATAAAACACTGGAGAAAAAAAAATAAAACACTGGAGAAAGTATGAAGGCCTCATCTTATGAAATACTGTCAAACCAGATACTAAGCTACACTGTTTCCCCTAAGCACAATTATACTCATTTTCATTATCTCATCTAGTGAAGGAATTTCACGTACATCAAAGTTAGAAATCTTTTGAGGGCTGGTGTGCCACTCTCCCAGCCTGTCCACTTCCAGAGCTGTCCCCGGGCCCGGTTCTGGGGCAAAAATGCCGGCCCTTCACATCGAAGATTTGCCAGAAAAGGAAAAGCTGAAGATGGAAGTTGAGCAACTTCGCAAAGAAGTGAAGATGCAGACGCAACAGGTGTCTAAATGTTCTGAAGAAATAAAGAACTACATTGAAGAACGTTCTGGAAAGGATCCTCTGGTGAGAGGAATTCCAGAAGACAAGAATCCTTTTAAAGAGAAAGGCAGCTGTATTATTTCATAAAATAACTCTGGAGAGAAATTTGATCCTCAGTAGAAGAACTAGTTCATTTTGGTTTTCTGAAATAAAACCGAAATTCCTTTCAAAGAAGGAAAACAAAATTTAAGGACTTTCTTAAACACTTATATTGATATGGTTATGTATAAAAGCTGTGTGCTTCTCATCTTCGCTCACTACACCCCCTTGTTAAGAGGGCAGAGAGTATCAAATGTACAGTTATGGAAATAAGGACATTACTTGTGCATGACTCACTTCTTTCAGTATATTGCTTGATGCCTTAAATAAAGTTTTATCTCTGGAAAAAAAATCTTTTGAGGGCAGAGTTCTATTGTGCTTTGATACTCTGAAAATGGTGATTCTACATTTTTTGTGACTCTAGGAGAATTCTGGATTAATCAGAAATTATACTGCAGGCAGGATGAAGTATACAAAACAGTTTTCTTTGAAACTGGTTGTTTGAAAGAGCAAATTATTTATAGGAAAAAAGTGTACTTGGGTTTAAATTCCCAGACAAGCCCACAAAAACCTATTTAATCTATAATGAAATGAAGATAAAGCATAGTAACTGCCATTGGAGGGGGCCCCTTAAACTCCGAGGTAAAGGGCAGGGCTGAGCAAACAGACATCAAAGGAAGGACAGTTGGTTTGTTTATAACACTTTTTTAAAAAGATTTTATTTATTTATTTGACAGAGAGAGACAGAGCAAGAGAGGGAACACAAGCAGGGGGGGTGGGAGAGGGAGAAGCAGACTTCCCACTGAGCAGGGAGCCCGATGTGGGGCTTGATCCCAGGACCCTGGGATCATGATCTGAGCCAAAGGCAGACACTTAATGACTGAGCCACCCAGGCGCCCCTATAGTTTAAATACTTTTACAAGATTTAATAATGTACTTGAACTGAACCCAAGCTGCAGTAATAGCTAAGATGTCTAAAATAAGTTACAAAGATATATATACAGCAATATCATTAACATTGTTGCTATTTTATATTTCAGAGAACTTTCATGTATTATCTTTTATTTTTCCCTTAAAAACAACCAAAAGCATTTCCTAGTGTGTGCTTCATGGAAAAGTAGTTCCTCAAAGGCTAATGATTCTTTTTACAAAAAGGCTTCTGTGTGTCATACGAATCTGGGATGTGATGAGCTGAAGAAAGTTAAATAAGCTTTTCCTCCCCTTTTTTCCAAAACCTTTAATATCCCAAAGTACAATCTGAATATCTACGAAGGGGCACATGATATACAATGTGTCCCAAAGTTATGTCACTATGGAACCATTTTTGCATTGTCCTTTCTCAAGACCAGGATCTCCATCATTAGAGTTAAAGAAAATGATGAGCTAGTAAAAACCTGGGAGCATTACAGAGGAAGAACAAATACTTTATATGCCTAATGGAAAGACTATTTGGGAGTCAGGAAACATGGATTCTATATTCAATTTTGCCATTTATTGGCTCTGTGACCTCAGGAAAAAACCACTTAATTTTCCTGTGCCTTAGTTTTATCATTTGCAAACTAGCATTTATAATTCTAGTTGCAGTCTTTTCAGGATTGGATAAAAGATATTAGATACATGAGATTACAGAATTATAAAATTCTAGACCTGCAGAAGACCCAGCAGTACCCTATCAAAAAGGTAATTTTAAGGATCTAGAATAAAGCCCACATCTCTTAACTCTTAGCCCTGCATTTTTTCCTATACCATCACATGTTGCTCTATTCTTTAAAGGATAAAACATCTCCAGAGGCAGAATAAGTTTCATAAAAGAACACAAGGTATATTTCATCTTAAAATTCCCATTGACTATATATATATACATTTAGCCTAAAATAAGTAAAGCTTTGATAAACATGGAGAGGTAGAAAGATAAAAGGAGTTCATTCCACATTCACTTGGGAATTGAAGGTAGGCAATTCTATGAAATGATTCATTTCTATATCTAATTAATAAATTGGCCCTGGGGCGCCTGGGTGGCTCAGTTGGTTGAGCGACTGCCTTCGGCTCAGGTCATGATCCTGGAGTCCCGGGATCGAGTCCCGCATCGGGCTCCCTGCTCAGCAGGGAGTCTGTTTCTCTCTCTGACCCTCCTCCCTCTCATGCTCTCTGTCTCTCATTCTCTCTCTCTCAAATAAATAAATAAATAAATCTTAAAAAAATAATAATAAAATAAAATAAAATAAATTGGCCCTACCTTCAACAAAAACGTATCTAATCAACAGGTAAAGGAAAGCAAATCTTACTGAAATTAATGAGAGAACCAAGGGTAGAGAAATGGACTAAAGCTGGAAGAGACTAGAAATAGGTAAGACTATTTGGTGATACTACTGCAATTCATTGCTATTGTCAAAGCTTTTCAGCTTTCCTATAATAGAGTATAGAACTGTTTGATGCTAATTACTTAGTGATGGGCCAAAAGGATGTATTTATTTCACTTGAAACATAAGAAAAGACCTTTTTTCCATACTGACAAATCAATGGGATAATTCTGGAATTCATTAAAAAGAAACACTAAGTGATCCAACAATAACAGCTTAAGTTCCTGTGTAAAACACTTCAAAATATCTAAATGAATATAGGGGCGCCTGGGTGGCTCAGTTGGTTAAGCGACTGCCTTCGGCTCAGGTCATGATCCCGGAGTCCCGGATCGAGTCCCGCATCGGGCTCCCTGCTCGGCAGGGAGTCTGCTTCTCCCTCTGACCCTCCTCCCTCTCATGCTCTCTGTCTCTCATTCTCTCTGTCTCAAATTAAAAAAAAAAAAAAAATCTAAATGAATATAGAAATGCACGTTTCTGTGGCAAATTGTTCATTATTGCATCATTATCAACCCTTGTTAGACAAAATTTCTCATTTTTGCAATGTGCAAAATCATTAAAGTGTTTGAGAGCTCCATCAAGACAGAGCACTTTATAATCCACTATTTCTTCAGGCAAATGTGCTTATGGTTGAACGTAATATGAAAAATAACAACATCCCCTAGCATATGATTTTACCCCCCACAATGGTATTTTTATATGTTGACAGCAATGATGAAATATGTTACTGCTTTCTTACTAGCTTTAACTGTTTCTGAGCATTCATCATTCATGGCATCACTCTGAAGTGTTACCTGTTCGGATGATTAGGTATCTACACAGTTCCAAATGCTTCTAATACTGCTATGTACATCTCAGTCATGCTTTAACAACATAGGTTTTTAGCCTGAAATTTGCTTAAATAATCAAATGGCTAGAAAAGTAATCTATCCACTGTAACTCTACCAAGTGCTATAAACCCACATATTTGGATATCTAACAGTTCATTTCCTTCAGCTCACATCAAGTGGGATTGCCTGTTACTGTACGGAACTACTCTACAATTTAGGAGATATTCATTTCCAAAAGCAAGCTATTGTCATGTAGATTGCTTACATGAAACCATTAGGTACCTCATTTGATCATTTTTATTGAAAATAAAGGAAAAAATTGGGGTGCCTGGGTGGCTCAGTTGGTTAAGCGACTGCCTTCGGCTCAGGTCATGATCCTGGAGTCCCCGGATCGAGTCCCGCATCGGGCTCCCTGCTCGGCAGGGAGCCTGCTTCTCCCTCTGACCCTACCCCCTCTCATGTGCTCTCTCTCTCTCATTCTCTCTGTCTCAAATAAATAAATAAAATCTTTAAAAAAAAAAAAAAAGAAAAGAAAGGAAAAAATATAGTAAATTAGGTATTGCCAATGACCAGTGAAATCCTTTTGAACATATCTGCCTAATCTTTTCAGGTTTCTTTTCCCCTTCCTTATAAAAAAATTTAACATTTTTAAGATTTGATAGTTAAGACTTACAATGAAAATGTACAGTTGCACCTGATTAACTGTACAGTGTAGTTCAGATGAATACAGAATTTTTTTCACCTATATTGTGAAGAGATCTATTTATAGATTTGAGTTTTTATAATATTTCAAGACTTATTTTAGATGCTGATTTAATAAACAGGGTTATGTATGACTATTAAACGTATTCTAATAATTATCTGTAAACTGAAGAAACCAACAAGCACATGCTCATAATTGCTCCAACTAAGAAAATGTTACCTCAAACTGAATAACAGAAATATTTTTAGTCAACAGATGCTCAGCGCAAGTGACTGACATGCATACTTCTTAGAATTCATTTAAAGATTTTTTTATTTATTATTTATTTATTTGACAGAGAGACAGCAAGAGAGGGAACGCAAGCAGGGAGAGTGGGAGAGAGAGAAGCAGGCTTCCTGCCAAGCAGGGAGCCCAATGTGGGGCTCGATCCCAGGACCCTGGGGATCAAGACCTGAGCCAAAGGCAGACACTTAACGACTGAGCCACCCAGGCACCCTCTTAGAATTCATTTAATTCCCACACTTATCCCCACAATTTTAACAGTCACCTTGGCTCAAAGCTATGCTAATGATGCAATTCTACTGGGCTTAAGAATCCTTATCTGTGAGCTAACAATAAATGTAAACACATAAATATAAAAAAAGGGCAATTTCTGATTTTTTACGTCTAAGAAGTATAGCCTCAATTAAGAAAGCTTAGTTCAATCTGAAATTACAAAAACACTGACTAGAGCTTCCTCTACCCTATTTACAATAAATTAAATGCTACTTGGAGAAAAGATATACTATAGAAAGAAATGTGGAGTGTCACATCTATTTTACTTTGAAAGTAAGTTCAACAGAAAATTAAAAAGATAAATTAGAAAGTTTTCCCTGCCTAAGTGCAAGGATAATTATTTTGTTCTCAATTTAATTCTGATTTTTACCTGGAATGATATGATTTTCATTTGCATTTATGTTAAAACAAATTGTCATTTTAAACACAAGTTTTATTGCTCATTAGATTTTTTACTCTTATGTCATACTCAATGATTCTGGCTTTAAAGTGGTAACTGCTTTAGGCAAAATCCACACTAGAATATCAGACAGTCTCCTCAACACTTTACAGAGGATAAGGGAATTAAACAAAGACTGTGCAAAGCAAAACCATTTATAAAGAAATTGCAGACCACCAGGATTTTGGATTTGGGTAATCCACTTAGATTAGCATGGCTGTGTCTTAAAAGGACAATTCCAAGATCACAATATAGGTCACATCCTTAAGAAACAGAGTAAGTAATGAAATCAATGTCAATTACACAAACTTCCATATTTACATGACGTCACTGACAACAAGTAAAACAGATTAAACAAAGCTTTCTAATGTGCTCAGGCCCAGCACAAGCAAGAAGGAAAAATAATGTTATAAAACATAGGTTCTTTTTAATCAGGTGCTGCAAAAAGGTAAAATTACTGATTAAAAA